GGGCCAGGTCCTGCGCCCGCAGCCGTCAGCACCCCTGCCCGGGGCTTGCGGAGACCCGGGGAGACCTGCAGTTCCGGGCCGGGGGCCCCACCCCAGGGCCTCTGCGGACACTTTGCTCACCGCGTCCTGGGTGTCTGGGGGCTTCCACCCCCTTACCAGTGCTCGCCAAGGAACGGGGTGCGCTCCCTGCGGCTGAGCTGAGCCTTCTACAGCTGCCCTGTGGGGTCTCCCGCCCCGCCCGGGTCGCTCAACCCTCCCATCCGCGCAGTCTAGGACAGGGCAGCGCCGCAGCCGCGGAGACGTGAGGGAAACGAAATCCCAAGCCCTGGAGAGGCCGCCCCCGCGCGCGATCCCCCAAGCCGCCCTGGGTGGGGGCGCGGCGCCGTCTCCAGAAGCGGCGCTGGCGCGGAGGCGGCGATGGCGGTGGCTCAGCCGAGCCCCGGGGCTGCGGCGATGCCGCCGGGTCTGAGCCTGCGGTGCTGCTGCGCGGAGGCGGCCAGAGGCCGCGGCGGGGCCAGGGAGGCGCGGGTCTGGCTCTGCCCCGGCGGTCTGGGGCGCAGAGAAACCCCGGGGCGCCCTTTGGCTGCAGAAAGGCTGGAGCAGGCGGCTCCCCTGGCCGGGAGCAAACCTGGCGGCTGGCCCCAGCTCAGCCCTGCGCCCAGTTAAGTCCACAGCACTTGAGTCGTCCCAGCTTGCAAATGTCAAAGCGGAAGGGGGTCCCCCAAATGACCTGCCCCCCCAGCCTGAGCTCCTGGCAGCCCAGCCTCTGCCTGGGTTTCCCACTCTCCTTTCCATTAGTCGCTCCATTTGTTTACTGTGATGGGTTTCAGGCAGGCCAGGTAGTAGTGTGCTCCCCGAAAGGCTCTCTAGGCTCCCGCACTGTGCGGCGCCTGCTGAGCTCAGGTGGGGGGGGGCCGGCGCCGTTCCTGTGGGGGGGGGGCCGGCGCCGTTCCTGTGGGAGCAGCCAATCCGCTGAGCACCATCGCTCTCCCACTAAGAAGTAGCGAGGGGAGGCCAGGCCCGCAGCGGGCAGCGGAAGCACGCCAGCTCCTCCTGGGCACCCCAGGGCACCCCTCCACGGCTCTCGACCACCCGTGCCAGGGTACCGGCACAGCACCGAAGCTCGAAGCTCGCTGTGCGGACGGTGCCCTCCTTTCTGGCCCGCCTGTGAGCTGTGCCCTCTCCTTTCCTGCGCAGGCAGCTGGGCTTTGTAGCTAGTTGGAGGATGAGCACCTTGGGGGTCTGGCTTGCCGGAGGCCGGGACCCCACTTTTCATCGAGACCCCTCTGCAGGCTGGTGGCTTGCTGGACGCCTGCCCTGCCCGCCAGAGGCCAGAGAGGCCAAAGGGACTCACCCAGACATCAGGGGGTCGGGAAGGGGCCGGGCGCTGCTGCGGAGGGACTGCGGAGGGCGGCCGCAAGGGGCGAGGGCCAGCCTGGCCCAGCAGCTCCTCTGCAGCCTCAGTTTCTATTTGGAAGTTGCCAGAGAGGCCCAGAGGATGGGGGGGGGGGGCTCGGAGACTTGACCAGACAGAACGGCTGGCTGCCCGGCAGCCTCCCTCTGCCCGCCTGGCCGGCTCCACCTGGCAGCGCCCACTGCTTTCACTCCCACCCAAGTGGGGCACTTTCAGGGTGGCCCAGCGCTGAGGGTTTGGGAAACCTGACCCCCAGGAAGCCAGACCTGGCTGCCACTGACCCCCCCACCCCAGCCTGCACCTGGTGGTGAGGCTCAAGGCTCAGGGGGGGGGGGACAAGACCTCCAGCCACCCCGGGTGTGCCTTAGAGGACAAACTCCGGGCACAGGAGGCCTCACCAAGGCTTTGGACCCGTTGCACGAGTGAACCCAGGTGCTGTCTGCTCTCCCAGCAGGAGTGCAGGGGCCCACGGTGGGGTGGGCCGGGCAGCCTGGACCCCACCTGTGCGCTGCCTGGGCCCCTGTGGGCATAAACTGGGCTGGGGTCTCTTGGCAGGTTGCCGCCCCTTGACCCAGGGCCTTGCTCAGACCAGAGAAGACTGTGAGCAGGTGCCAACCCCGCCCCTGCCCTGGGGTCTTGCTCTGGAGCGGGGCTGCCCACCCGGCTGGGGCTCAGAACCTCAAGCCCGGGCAGCTTGAATGGGGCCTTAGAAAGGGTGGGCGGGCTTGGAGGGGCTCTGAGGCGGGCAGCGAAGCCACTCATCTCTGCCAGGAGCTGCGCCAAGGAGCCTGAGGGGCTCTAGACAAGGCACAGAGCCGGGGGCCAGGCGCGTGCAGGCCTGCCCGGGCTGGGGTTACGGGTCTCAGGCTGGGCCCCGAGTGGCGAGTGGCGGGGAGGCCACTTCCTGAACGCTGGGGTCTAACTGCCGGCCTTCCCCGGCCAGGCAGCCCCTCCCTCCCTCTGCCTCCAGGCTCCCTGCTGTGTCCACCGCTCTGGAGCCCTTCAAGGGGCCCCCGGGCTCCCCCAGCTCTGGCGGGGCCCTCTGAGCACCTCCAGCACTGCCTGGCTCCTCAGGGCCACCCACGGAAGGAGGGTGACCGGCCTGGAGCGCTCGGGAGCACCTGCCCGTGGCGCCACCAGAGAGCTGTGCGGCCCTGAACAGCCCAATAAACTCAGCCGCGGGCGGCGAGAGCCTCACCGGGTCTGGTGTCTGGTTCTTCACCCTGGTCTCTGCTGACGGCTCCGGCCCACCTCACTGGGTCCCGCGGGGCTGGGAGCTGTGTGGGTCCAGCCTGGCGCTGCCGGAGGCGCGGAGTGGCCCGGCAGCCTCTGCCCGGCGCCTCCTTGAAGGAGCCATATCGCTTGGCGGCTGGGGCCACCTCAAAAGCAACAGGAGTCTGGGGTGCAGGCGCCCAGATGGACCCTGAGCCCCGAGATACCCAGAAGCGGGGGCTTACAGCCCGGCAGGGAGAGGCTGCCCGCACCCGGGACTGGGGACTGGGCAGTGCCTGGGGCGCACAGAGCAGAGCACGTTCTCGGAAGTCCTCTCTACACGAGTCCAGCAAAACGAGTTTGGGGTGGAAGCTCGAAGCAGCTGGGAGGGGTGTACCTCCCCATCCCTCAGAGGGCCCCAGGAGCAGGCTGAGAAGAGGCTGAGGTGCAAACCCCTGGGGTCAGGCTGAGTTGGAAGCGGCCCCCCTCAAGATGCCCACTCCCGTGTGGCACTGGAGCCCAGACTGGGCCGGCGGCCTGGCTGGGGCACGGAGCCTGAGTGGAGGGTGCGTGGGAGCCATCCCAGGTCAGAGAGCTGGATGTTAGGGGCAGACAGGCCATGGGGCAGGCGCCGCCCGCCCGCAGGATACCCCGTGCCTCACCAGGGCTGCCTGGCGAGGAGCAGAGCACGGCTCAGCTCAGAGAGCCGCTCCACCCGGCAGGCCAGGCCGGGGCTTCTCCATTCTGCCCCAGAAGTGACACTCCCTGGCCCCCTCCCAGTCCAGCTGGGGATGGGGCATCTCTGCGGGAGCTCCAGCTCCAGGCCCCTCAGTTACAGGGATCCAGGGCGCGGCCTCGGGCCTCCAGAGCCTGTGAGGTGGCCTGTGCCAAGCCCAGCTCCCCACTTGCCTTTGCTGGGGTCCCAGTGTTTTGTTTTGACCAAAGGAAAAGCTGGGCACCCTCCTGCCACGGTGGGGGGGGGGGCTGTTTGATCTGCCCTCACCTGCCTGTGTCTTTGGCCTCCACGAAGACCCCGAATTTGGGGCACACTGTCCCCTCTCCTCCCCAGGTCCTGGCGCCTTCCTGGCAGGTGAAGGGGGAGAGTGCAGCCCCAACCCACAGAGCTCGGAGCAGCTGGGAGGGGGGTGGACCCTGCCACCGGCTGCCTGAGGGGCCCCACCACCCCCAGAGAGCACCCCAGAGAGCACACGCAGCAGAAAGCATCCAGAAAATGTCCCTTTTTATTCCATACGCAAATAAGTAGATTCCTTAAAAAAAAAAGTCTTCACCAGGAGCAGCAGACCCACTGCCCAGACACCCACCGCTGCCGCGCCCGTCCGCCCTCCCCTCCCGGCGGGTTTCTCTCTGCGGGACCATCCTGAAGCCCCGCTGGTCACGGCTGATCACTGTCCTCGCTGCCGTGGGACCCTGGGACCCTGGCAGCGTCCCTCCAGGCGCGGCGCGGGGCGGCCCTGCTTCCCGGCAGGGGCTGGGGCTCAGCGGGCTGCAGGCCGCCCCCTCCAGGGCGCCCTCTTCCCGGGGTCCGGCCTGTCTGGGAGCCTCTGTCCCCCGCCCTTAGCGGGCCCTCCCGCAGGCCCCGGTGCGGAGGAGGCCGCAGCCCCC